TCCACAAGATATCTAGGTGTCACAATAGACAAAAATCTGAAGTGGTATGATCATGTATTATATTTGTGTAACAGAGTTAGAAGGCTAATCCCTAAATTTTATAGAATACGGAAATTCATGAAAAAGAATATTTTGCTAATGGTTTACAAGGCGCTTGTGGAATCGGTATTAAAGTATGGGATCATCATATGGGGTGGTTTATATAACAACGCATTAATTCCGTTGAATGTTATCCAAAATTATATTTTAAAAATTATTTTTAATAAAAATAGGCTATATCACACTGCTGATTTGTATAATGCTGATATTCTCAACGTTAGAATGTTATATTTTCACAATATATGCCTGTTCATATATAAGAATAAGAAATTGATAAATCCTATTTCCCATTGTCATCGCACTAGACAAGTCTCAAACTTTCATAGTCATGTTCCCTTTTATCGTAAAGATGCTAATAAAAGATTTCTAACCAGATTAGCTCCAAAAATTCTCAACACTCTTCCACTGGAGATTCGAAATATAAAAAAAATTACACAGTTTTCTAAAGCTTGCAAATGTCATGTTTATCAAAATTATTCATCATATTTAGAATTGCTATAGTTGAATATCTTATATCATGTATGTAGTTTAGAATAATTCACACCAAACTCATTTATGTGTTGTATTTTATGTGTTTGTGATGAAAAACATCTCAAAATGTGTGTTATTATATTGAACTTATTATTAACTTCTGTTATTCGCACATACAGACCCTAGGTCTAGGTGCTTTACGCATTTCATAAAAAAATAAATTGTCAATTGTCATAAAATGAATATTGTAAAATTATGTAATTATGTATATCAAATATCAAATAAATAAATCAATGTAGAATACGATAGTCGTAAAGAAAGTGTGTTAAATACCGTTGAAGTGTGGATAAAGTGTCTGTCTACGTTTCCTTGATTCATGATACAACATCAAAAGTGGAATTCACCCATCTCCACGATACGTCATTGAAATATAAAAAATGTTTTAGCCAATAAGAATAAGAAGGGCAAATAAAATGAAGGAGGCATTGTTCAATTTCGTTTTTGGTTTCTTGGAAGAATATTCTCCAAATGTGCGGCTACTGCATATACTGTACGAAACAATATTCGAATGATCAGATTCGGAAGAATTGGTGAGAAATAAGATATAGCACAAAAAAACTATCAACAGTGTATACAGTGTGTCCCACTTACCATGTTCACATGGGTATCTTTTTAACGGTGAGAGATACGAGGTCGGTTAAATGACACCAAATGTGGAGTTTGTCAAGGCCAACTATAATGTGAAAAAATATTTTGATAAAATCCATTCGTTTTTGTTTTATACGCAAAAAACAGATTTCTCTCCTCAGTTATTTCTTTATTTATGAAAATATTCAAATAGGAATTCCACACTCTCGTGGCAGTTTTTCAAAGTGATTTCGAAAAAAATATGAAATTTATACCAACTCTTCTAGAATTTGGGATATCACCATCAACTTTAGTTTTCCAAATGAAGGTCATAGCTCACTATGACTTAGTAACAAATAACTTTTTTTTCTCTCACAGATGATATGTCGCAGTAATAGTTTTCTGTTCATAACAACGGAGTTATCGTCATTTATACAAAAACAACCAATTATTTGGAAGCCGTCATCTTGAATTTATAAATTTTAACAAAAAATCCTGATCTCCGATCTCAAGAACCCTCACTCATTAATTTTGAATGGAATCGGACCAAATCTTGTCCGCCATCTTGGAGCAGCCATATTTTTAATTTCAACAAAAATTCCATAATGTATTGTGGTCCGATTCCATTCAAAATTGATAAGTGGGGGTTTTTGAGGTCAGAGATCATGATTTCTTTGTTGAAATTTATAAATTCAAGATGGCGGCTTCCAAATAATTTTTTGGTTTTGTAAAAATGACGATAACTCCGTTGTTATCAACATAAAACTAATACTGCGACATATCATCTGTAAGAGAAAAAAAAGTTATTTGTAACTAGTGAGCTATGACCTACATTTGAAAAACTAAAGTTGGTGCTGATATCTCAAATTCTAGAAGAGTTGGTATGAATTTCATATTTTTCTCAAAATCACTTTGAAAAACTGCCATGACAATGTGAAATTCCTATTTGAATATTTTTATAAATAAAGAAGTTACGGAGGAGACATGAAAATGATCAAAATCTGTTTTTTGCGCATAAAACAAAAACGAATAGATTTTATCAAAATATTTTTTCACATTATAGTTGGCCTTGACAAACTCCACATTTGGTGTCATTCAACCGACCTCGTATCTCTCACCGTTAAAAAGATACCCATGGTGAGCATGGAAAGTGGGACGCACTGTATATATAATATATGTGATAAATATCCAGAAAAGAAGTTCTCACTTTTTTCCCATGGGGAAAGAGTAATTTATGAAAAGTGACATTTTATAACCTGCCAACAGAGATGGAATGCCAAACTTTTTTCCCGTCACAGAAAAAATACTCATATCAGAATTCCTATTGAGTGAAATTTACCTACATCATTGATACTTTCGCACTTTCGTTCAAAAAATAATTGATTGCACGTTGTATTTATCATGTGGCATGTTACATTTATATCCATCAAAACTTTCAAATTTGATCGGATTAGTATTTATGGATATTCCAGAATGGGAAGTTCACGATTTCGAATTTTATACTTATATAATGAGAATTTGGACCCTGGCAGAGCCTATATATTCCGTATGCGCTGCGTGAATCAATGCTCGTTTCACGATCAATAAGTTGAAAAGTAATGGTGTCTCATGTCATCAAACGCTATTATTCAATCAAATATTACCCCGCATCTAGTGAGTCAAGTTGAATTACTTCGTTTTCATGAAGAAATTTGACATATTATTTCTTGTGAGAAAATATACCTATTCGTCACTGCTTGATCCTTTTTTTGAAAATTATTTCGCTCAAAAACTGTGAATCAACTTATGAAATTGCTGCTTTCACCGGACGACCTATTGTTGACACAATCATGACATAGATTATGAACTCCACCTTTCGGGTATTTGATAAAATGTATTGTCATTTTGGATATGTTCTCTGATCGGTTTTATGGAGAACAATAGCTGTTCGTTATGAAATATTTCGTTCGATAATAATTAGCTGATCTCTGTGAATTGAACGGTCAACGAGTCATCCACTAGTGATTCATTCCTACAGTCAAAAACAATGACTAGATTCCAATTAACATAATTTCATATAATTATAACGTATGAATGCGAGAAGAGAAATGGTTATGAGTTCACATATTAAAATTATCGTACGACTAACGCAAAAATTATCGTATTCGCGAGATTCACGAAGTGGGCGACATCTAGGTTACATAATACGAACTTCAAACTAGGGGAAAACAAACTGTTGTCTATGGATAAAGTGCATAGACTACATAGCATTCAGCTTGCTGTAGCTGTAGTCAAACTTGTCAATTACATAAAGTGTTGGCACTGTTGGTAGTGATGATGGTTGAGTTGGTTAATTTTTTTACATTATTACATTTTTATTAGTTCAGTGAACAGTGAACAGGTGAAGAATTGGGGATAGTTCAAACAATTCAAACTAATTATGACGATCAAATCAATTGACATATAAAAGAACAGCTACAACATGTTCACAATACCCGGATTGTCCTGCTTTGCATGAACAAATACAAATCCATTGTTCTACAGGAGTTCCTCTGGACCCCAAGTGCAAAAATGTGCCTTTTGTTGAAGTATTCTGCCTCACACAAAATCACATTATTAGCACGAGGAACTGCTTCTCCTTCCACTACTGTTCGGCTTTTTTATCTAAATAGAGCAAAATATCTGCCAAAACAACATCTACAACAGGCACTATTAGCGTTTTCGATCGAATATTGACAATTAATGTCAAGAAATTCGAGAACTTATCACTCTTATCAGTGGTGACTAACCTACTATTCTTTGCTAATGGGATTGAGTGAGGATTGAGTTTGTTTTCCCTCAGTTTTGACGTGGCTTTGGCATGGAACGATGAAAACCGAGCGCCACCTGGTAAAATTGATTCCCGCGAATGATAGTGAAATGTAAAAGTGAGATAGTGAAATGTAACAAAATGCATACCCAGTATATATCAACCTGACTTTGACATTGTCAATCAAGCTATAATAAATCTGTTGTCTAGCAATAAATCGAAAGGTCAAGCTGAATGGGCGTGTACACCTTGGTAGAACTTTTAACTCAAACCATGTTTATAATGATCCTTTTATACATAAATAATGATTGACGACATAATTCGATCGAAAAATTTACTGGAATGTTCAATTTTTGGACATAAATAATAGTACCATCTGAAAACGGACCCTCTTATGACGTAGAAACCTCATCTCGCCATAGTTAAAAGAAAATACCAAACGCCGGGCGGAGACTGAGGCAACTGATATATTAATTATTTCAACTGTGATCTCGCGCTAAATCACTCTGCCAGAAATCATGTATCATTCATCTCTGTCTGGAATAGTCTTGTTTCAGTATTAGGGTTTCTACGTCACATCATCGCCTCGTTTTCAGAGGTCCGATAAATCGGGGATTTCAATAATTTTTTATAAAACGTAGGGAGCTCACAGCGATAAACGGTTTGCGGTGGTGAGCTAGTTTGGGTGAGTTCTATCGAATTATGGAATAAAATTTTTTTGTGATATAAGCCCATTGTTATCCTGTGGCCTGTGGGTGAATACTTCAGACAGCAAGAAAACAATTCTTCAAAAGAATGCGTTAATAAAGTGATAAGTGATTAGATTCATGGCATGGAATGAGGAAGAACATAGTATACAATATATGTCTTCGAGGGTGACGAAAATATTCGATATGCACCTCGTCTACCATCTCGCCTGAAATGCAGGCTATACTATAATACACAATTCTTCGTCCTCGGTACATAAACAACAATATCATATTATTCATAATAACAATATATTTTGAATATTCAGCAAACACCGGTGATTATCGCTGGGACTCATGAACAGAAGAAAAAGTACATAGGAAGGGTGATAGAAGAACCGATTTTGGCAGCCTATGCTGCTACCGAACCTGGAGCAGGCTCCGACACGAATGGAATAAAGACTTGGGCAGAGAAAAAAGGAGATGAGTGGATATTGAATGGTCAAAAAATGTGGATAAGTAATGGAGGAGTCGCCGACTGGTGAGTGTTTTGAGAAACAAGAAATCTTAGGACAAAAAACACATTTGAGTACCTTGTATTGATAGTTTGAAATCAAATACACACGATGGAGGAAGAGGAAGAAATAGTGGCCTGTGAATTGAAAATATGAAATATCAAAGATTTTGAATACATGATTTCCGAAAGGCAATTAGTTGGGAGGACTTCATTCAACATGCCGAGTTTGTCGGGTCAATAAGAGAAGAAAAACATATATACAACATACAAAACTACGATCACTGAAAATATTGTGAGAGGACCTCAGCGGTTTCTGATATCACATATGTATTGTACTCATTGCTGTTTTTATTGATTAGATGAATAAATGGACATCCATATTATCCAATTTATGAAACATATGAAGCATGTTGAGAAATCAATCAGTTATATCTGTCGTAGCCATTTTAGAAAACCTCATAGAACATAGAATTTGTAATCATATCCTCTTATCGGTTGACATGGCGGTTCATTTGGAAATCGAATCTGATTAATGCCTTTTCGGCTTCGAAGTTTCAACTTTGGGGTACGATGAAGGGTAAAAAGTGTCCTTTGTGAAATTTGAATAGTGACGACCTATTCTAGCGGTTTTCAATTAAATGCATCACAACGGAGAACAATTAAGTGGTACGATTTCGATGGACCACCCTGTATATATACCGGCATTCTGAAATAAATAGAGGAAACAAGACACACTGAGTCATCTCCACAAACTTGGATGTTAGAACTATCTGAATTGTCTGAACATATTTTGGACCACCATCAGTCCATTATCAGCAGAATATAAGGTAAGATGAAATATGTACGAAAAATAGGTACATTCTTACATAGTGAAACTATCACGAACACTGAGATTCTGTTTTTACGTGAAAGTGGAAAAAACGGCAAAGTTACATATTATTATAAAATATAAACAGAAGTGAACAATAAAACGAGGCACTTTTCCATTCTCTGCTCTTCCTTTTCTTGTAGAAATTTGTTGTTTCATTATATCCTGCGGATGATGGACTGTAATGATGGTGCAAAACATGTTCAGATAGTTCAGATAGTTCTGACATTGCAGAATGTTAGAAGATGACTCAGAGTGTGTTGCTTCCTGAATCTCATTTACTGCACTTTGAGATATTATTTACTTCTACCATATATTATATTTCATAGGATTCTCCTAAACCGTACATATGATTACTGAATGAATATTTCGGTAGTTATTATTTTCAATCATCAGGGGTTGCCCTTTTTCTGCCATTGTGTGTAATCACGAACAAAAAGCACAAATATACAATGGATCTGTGCTTGAAGGATTATCAACGTGGGTAGAAATCTGATCGATTGTGAAGATTTTAAGAAAAATACCATATGCCCAGAACCCATTGTAGGTGATGATCTAGCCTGATGAGCAGGATGATTTTGCAGGCAAGATAAACTTTTGTATTGGGCAAGATGATCTTGCCTAATGAGCAAGATGATCTAGTCTAACAAGCAACATGATCTTGTATAATGAGCAAGATGATCTAGCCTAATGCAAAATGATCTAGCCTAATGCAAAATGATCCGGCGCTGGAGGGCCGGTATGCGTTTTTTTTTACCTTGTTTAATGGGAGGTATATCATCTTGCTTTAGAAGCAAGATCATCATCGTGCCTGAAGAGTAAGATAATTTTGCTTGAGAAGCAAGATGATCTAGCTCAATGGGCAAGATGATCAACTGTCCCTCCAGTGCTTCTGTAGATCTCGCTTATTATGTCAAATGATCGTGTTCATTGAGCAAGATGATCTTGCCTATCGAGCAAGATGATCTAGCTTATTAAGCAAGATGATCTAGATTATCAGGCAAGTTAAAAAATACACTTACTGGTTCTTCAGCGCTTCTATGATACGGTCGAGAGTATTACAGTAACAATGAATTAAAACTCGTTATTTTTTTTTCAAACGACGGCGTCTTCAATCTTGAGTTTTTGATGTTTCTGATAGGGTTTCATTTTATTGAAATACTCATATACGTATTAATAAACAATACGGATCATAACGGGTGCCAGGATGAAGCCAAAAATATGAAACAAATGAATATCCATAAGGATTTGGTGGCATGATACGCATGCGCCATGCGCTATTATAGTAGTCATCAAAGACATGCGTTTCGGTGGACAATGACGTTTACTAGCCTTTCAATCAAAGCAGTATGTGTCTGATCGTTTCAAAACTTCTCCTTATGGATAGTCATTTGTCTTCAAAAATCGGCTTCATGTTTCGCTATGGAAACAGATAGAGATTATCCGTATTGATTATTAATACGTATATGAAATTACTGTTCTAGAAGTTTCAGAACGAGAACACCTCTAAATCCATCAAAAATCGAATTGACTTTCAATTTCTTGATGTTCTTTTCTAGGTATTTTGTTCTAGCTCGTACTCATCCGGACCCGAAAGCTCCTGCTAGTAAGGCATTCACAGGATTCATTGTCGAGAAGCAATGGAAGGGTGTGACCGTTGGAAGAAAGGTTATCATCATCCTATACTATATTTAAAATAATGAGTTTTGGTAGATCCAATGGAATAAGATTCGATGATAGGATCGTAATGAACGTTCATTTCTCTCTCTGCTGAGGAGCGACTTCAGAGTGAATGAAAGACGAAAACTTCTCCCAAATGTTTCTCCTCAAATTGGAGATATTGGATGAGAATATACGGAGAAAGAACTCCCAGAAAGAGTCCCATTCCGATAATAATTTCATGACTAAGGTTCATATTCAGGATGAAATTACAGAATAGGTTCAACACTGATGATTCTCCCCATGATGATGATCCTTAGGGATCGCGAAATATACAGGGATTTCAAACTCAAGTCGGCACTATTGCTAACTTCGTTATAATTGGAGTCACAATATCACACGGAGAAAACAATCTCTAATCTCAAGTGAATATGCAATAGTGGCAAGTGAAATCTTGTATACTCTTCGGGATGAGAAAACAAGTTGATAATCACAGGAAAATTTGTGTTCTTGGAAATGGACACAAAGCACTATTGACCTGTTTCAATGGATTTCATATTAATAACCGTTAATGCACACATTACTTGTAATCAGTAAATCATTCCCTTGTCATTTGTGACTCATTCACTTGTCATTGGTGATTTATCCACTAGACCTTAGTGACTTATTCACTCATGGTAATTGACTTATTCATTTGCGAATAATGACTTATTCATTCATCGTTACTTGTCATAAGTGACATGTTCACCTGTCATTAGCTATAGGTACTATGAAAAATCACATACCTATAGATTGTTTTCTGAAAAATGATAACCATGATGAAAAACTCGTACATTCAAAACATGTATTGAATATCTATGATGAATCATGAACAAGTGTCCTAATCACTTACAGCAGAAACATTGTTTCAGAAATATCGTTTTGCCTACTTCAAGAACCTAATTTTCCTACCGTTGGTGAACATTTTCTTGTTACAATCGACATCATTCCAAGAAAACGATTTACTTAGCCAAGTTTTCTCAGTGCATTTGAATGGACAAACTAGTATCTATATATCTAGTATTTTTCCTGCTGGTTACGTTGCTGGAAACGACACAAAAATCTAACATCGCGTTCACGAGTCAATGTCAAAAAGTTCAATTCCTTCAACTAGAAGACCATCATTTGAAGATCCTTGAAATTCACAGGGTGATAAGTTTTTGGTGGTTGAGGCTTATTCATTCCCCCTAAACATTCCTGTAGTATGCCTCTGACATCTTCCAGTTACTCGATAGGAAAGATCGTTCAATTTGAACCGTTTTCGAGATAAATATTGCATATCCATCCTGTCACATCTTCATTTCGCCTATTATTGTTGTTGTTCTGAAATTGTTCTATCCGTCATTCGGTTGCCCCCTTACGAGCAACCCTCATAAGTCGTCGAGAGTCTTGTGCGAGCAAGGAATGATGGGGGCCTTACCTTTTAACGTGTGATCCCAAACACTTTCTTGTGCCATCAGAAAAATTTCTGCAGTCGACGGGAATCGAACCCACGACCGGCGAGCGAATGCGGATTAGAATATAGACACTCTGTCCGCACGACTACCTGGCCTCCAAATTATGATACGCTCAATGCAATAAAATGTACTAACATTGCAATGTTTTCGAGCATGTGTTCAATCTGAATCAGTATCCTGCATGTATCCATATTTCTTATTCAATATCATCCTCGATATCATTTGAAAGAATTAAAAAATAATATAGCATGGAATCTGTACGGTCCACAGAAGATATGAAGTAATATTCAGGCCGCATGTAAGTTATGGTTATTCACCACCGTTAATGTGTTTTTATATGGTGGCTAAAGGTGAATATTATTGAAAACTATATTGGATAACAGATAGATACAACATGATATGGGACTTAACCAGTCGTGGCTCGACACGAATTTCCACGTCGTTGGATTGGTCGGTTGAAAGCAACCTGGGGGCCCATTCTCGAATGTCGAACGAAATATGTCGAATTCGACATATGTCGATAGAAATGGTCGCACAACTTGTGAGTGTGGTATTCTTGATTGCATTCGACTTCAAAGTCGCATGAGAAATTCTGTCGAATAGCATGAACTGGCAACATCGAATTAACGATACCCGAGAGTGCTCTGTGCCAAGTATTGTGGTTTCTTTGTTGTTTTGATGGGGAATATGTCAATGCTAGGTTGGAATAATTACAGTTGACCGAAAACAATACTGTTCTTCATCTCAAAAAGAAACACTCAACTCAATGAAAGAGAAAGAAAATGAGCTACTTTTATCTGACAATGAAAAAATTCAGAAGACCGATGTCCTTGTACCACAAATGGTTCTAGAAGTGCAATGCAATGACTCTCTAACTCATTCACTACCCCAGTCCTGAACTTTATATTTTTATACATTTTCTGTCCGATCAAAATCTGAACGCATTCTTATATACGTTCTCTCGTGGCCGTTGATGATTTCCTTCATTTTCCAAATTTTTAATGTCTTAATGAAGCTGCCACTCTCAAAATATCGAGTGGAGAAAATCAGTCAAATATTCAATCTCGCTTCCGACATGAAATATCAATTTGTCTATCGAAAATTTTCGAATGCGTCATTCGAGAATGAGCACTCACGTTTTTTGCTCGACAATATGAAAATCTCGCATGCGACATAATATCTCACCTGTAAAAACTCCACAAACGATAAGAATCCTCGAAATTCTCAAACACACGACATGTTTCGCTAACACAGTAGCTTCGTCAGGTGATATACTGGTACAGTGAACTTAACTAACGTTTGGCTTGCTCAACTTTTATATATCTTACTTTCCCAACCTGGAGGCGATTAGTTACTGTGGACAGTATATCACCTGACGAAGCTACTGTGTTAGCAAAACATGTCGTGTGTTTGAGAATTTTGTGGAAATCTTATCGTTTGTGAAGTTTTTACATTTGTCATGGATTTCCATCAAGTAACGGGAGAGTCAATTAAAGAAAAAATGATATCTCACCGTTTGAGAATAGGGTCCCTGATCTTTCACTTTCAGCTAATGATTCAGATTGAACACATGCAATGTTATAGTACATTTGATTGCATTGAACGTATCATAATAGGCAACATCATGTTGTAGAACGGATATGCTTATTTATCTCGTTTCTTCAAGGAAATCGATATTCAAAAAGCCTCTATTTTGAACGATCCTTCTTATTTAGTAAGTGAGAAATGTCAGAGAAGTACTACGAGAAAGTTTCGAACAAATAAAGAAGGCTCTATCCCCAAAAGCTCATCACCATGTTGATTTCAAGAATTCGAAAAATGCTCCAAACGATCGTCTTCAAGTACTTATCACACCAAATTCCATATTGATATATCCAGAAGTGAGCGAGATATTCCAATTGAAAGGAAAACATATCAAATTCTGACCTCCTGTAGCTCCGCTACTGATCAAGATTGGACCCATATTCCATCGAACTTTTTTCATTAAAATGATGATATATATATCTACCATTCCAGTTTGTTCTTTGAAACCTGAATCACCCTGTATATATAAGTATTACGAAAGGATGGCAAAAAAAATCTGACCTTAACGGTGAAAATCTAGAATTAGAGGGTGATGAAAAATAGTGGTATTTGTATATTTTTTTGTAGCTGGCGATTTTTTCAATTGATAAATCACTCTGTATACCATGAAATGCATCATGATGTGTCCTCAAAAATTATTATCAATAGCCTTTATCAACCCAATAATACTAGGTGGCTCATTTTTCTTTATTTTCTAAACATCAGCATTCACGAAACACCATGTATAATCGATACATAAAATGAAACAATTTCATGTTAGAAGAACATATCGAATGATGATTTTGATTATTCAATTTTTATCAAGTTGTAGCATCGATATTTAGAAATTGAAAATAACACAATAATTCATATATGAATCACCCTGTGATTAAGATCAGCTTTAGTTGATTCTGTAAATGGTTCTTCTACCCAAAGATTGAACTGAAGAACTGCTAGCAGAGAATTCTTATTCATTTGTCTTTTCTTGGAGATATGGGTAGATGAAAAAGGGGCATTTCTCAACTTCAACACCCTGTATTTCAAAAACTGGTCATAGGATCGGATTGGGACTCGGCATATTTGATCATTAGGTCGACTTCTATAATATACTAGAAATTCAGAGAATTCGACAAAACGCCATTTTTATATAAAAAAAGTGCGGGGTCCTTTCCAGGGTTGATTCTTGTGATATTTTGGGAGATGAAGTTTATATATACCTGTGTTTTAACTTGCTTCGGATTCAATCTGATATGTCTTTCCATCAATTTCAATGAGACTTGGAGGTTTTGTAAAAGTTACATACTACATTTTTTTGTTTAATTAAATTCGAAATAATATTTTCAGTGGCGTCACAGTGCGTTATTTCATCGATATTTATGATGGTGAATATTAATATGAGCTACTGATTTTTCTGAGTTCTATATCTGTATTGAATTGAACAATTGAACTGACAACTTCCTCATTCTCTGTTGAACTTTCATGTCTCGCTCAGTTCCTGAGAAAATAATGAAAATTCGATTCGACTCCAAATTTTTTTATGTGCTCTCAAGGCACCCATCGAGTTCATTCAATAATCTCATAAAAATATATTTGAATTTTGGAGACAGGGGAGTAATGGATAATAGGATTGAAATTCTTCCAACTTCAACATCCTGTATCTCAAATTTGCAGTAGGTTGGGACACATCTTTATATAAACTTCATTTCCTATGATAGTACAAAGAATCATCTCCTGAAGCTTGTTGCACCTATTCACTGACACTCTGTAGATATGCATAAAATGAGATTTATTCTTCAGGAGATTAATATGGGACAAAAAGCTGCTGATACTAGAGGAATAACTTTCGAGGACGTCCGTATACCGAAGGAAAATGTTCTCAGGAGTGAAGGAGATGGTTTCAAAATAGCTATGGAAACTTTGGACGTCACAAGAACTCCGGTAAGCATTGATTTCTATTACACATGATACCATATTCCGTTTTCATTGGAGTTAACTTTTTTTTGTTGAAATTTTCGTAAATTTGATCATTCAATATTCGTATCACATAATTGGAATGTGAAGGATGTTCTTGAAGGTGAGACATTTTTTCATCAAGATGTAGAACTCATCATGAAATACAACTTTATCAGAAATTGTCCATATGGAAATTGATACATAACGAAGTCAAGAACTCACTGATAAAATTGGTCCTATTTAGGTGTTTGAGAAAAATTTCGAAGTTGAAGTCTATCCAAAGTCAATGGGAGACTTCGCTTCATATTGCCAACCTCAAAACCTCTACCAACGTGGAAGCAGCATTTGTGGACATTTCATTACTCAAATGGCATTACCTTGATGGTATCTAATTGAAGGAGTCTACTCAGCTCACTAATATCCAGAAGAGAAATTAGTTTTTGTGAACTCCAGTTCTGGAAATAATGTTGATGCACCTGCTTTTATTCTGAAATGTGTCCTATATCGACGTCAATTTCATTACTCCTCACATTTTTGGTACATTTCGAAGATTATTTCATTTATGGACAATACTGATATTCATCATTTTTGGTTAAAAAGTTTGATAGTTGCAGTAGGAAGAAGGAATATATTATTATATATTACATCTGAGTGCTAATCGACCCATGAATAACTTCGTAAGAATGGAATATTACATTTTCATCCTTTTCCTGAAATTGAGAATGACCCGAGGATGTGTCTTTGAGTGGATGACACCATGACTGTGTGCAAACGAAGAAATCACAGTCGATATCATGAATTAAAACAGTAACCTACCAATATGTATCAACAAAGCATTTTTCATGACTTCCTGGAGGTGGACATTGAATATGTCCGAAACATGTTCCTTATTGGATGTTTCCGAATTGAAAAGTCGTGGAGACGACTTTGTGCTTTTCTTATTGAATATTTCCCATAAATACGAAATGAAGTCATTAGGTCTCGATTCGAAATACTCTGATTCTCCAAATCATGAATGATAATTTGACAAGAAGAAGTTTATTAAACAAAATCTTGACATTTCTCATTCTCATGGCGAACTATGCAGAAGCAGTACTTTCCTCGATATTTTCATCTACTCATAGTCTTATAATTATATCTTTGATCTAGTAATGTTATACTCAATTACGAAATTAGTAGGTAGGTACTTTATAAATCACTTATCACACCGCGGACAGCCAATGGCTTTGCGGTTTGTCTCTTTGTTTATTTGCTTTTATAGTGTATAAGATATTGTTAAACTCTATGCAGCTAGACCTATTATTATTAATATTAGTTACGTGTATGCAGTTTTAACTAATCTTTGCCATGAACTTCATTTCCTGAATATGAGGAATGAGTCCTAGATCTTGAAAACAATTCTCTCCTCTTCAAGTTCCTGAACACACCTTAACAATATACCTCAAGGTAGCTGCTGCAGCAGTAGGTCTGGCCCAACGCTGCCTGGACGAGACCTCTAAGTACCCAATTACATTTATGCAGTTTGTACATATCTTCGCCATGAACTAGATTTTCTGAATATGAGGAACAAGTCCCAGATCTAGGAGAAAATTCCCTGATCTTCAAGTTTCTGAACCTTCCTCAACAATATACTTCTAGGTAGCTGCCGCAGCAGTAGGTCTGGCCCAACGCTGCCTGGACGAGGCCTCCAAGTACTTAGTTACGTGTATGCAGTTTGTACAAATCTTCGCCATAAACGAAAATGTCTGAATAAGAGGAATCAGTCCCAGATCTGGAAGGGAATTCTCTTATCTCCAAGTTTCTTAATCTTCCTCAACAATATAGGTACTTCTAGATAGATGCCGCAGCAGTAGGTCGGGCCCAACGCTGCCTGGACGAGGCCTCCAAGTACTTAGTTACGTATATGCAGTTTGTGGAAATCTTCGCCATAAACAAAATTCTCTGAATATGAGGAATCAGTCCCAGATATACAAGAGAATTATTCAATCTTTGTGTTCCTGAATCAAGTACTTAGTTACGTGTATGCAGTTCGTACAAATCTTCGCCAAGAACTAAATTTCCCGAATATGAGGAATCAGTCCCAGATCTAGAAGAAAATTCTCCAATCTCTGAGTTCCTGGATCGTCCTCAACAATATACTTCTAGGTGACTGCCGCATCAGTAGGTCTGGCCCAACGCTGCCTGGATGAGGCCTCCAAGAACTCAGTTACGTGTATGCAGTTTGTACAAATCTTCGCCATAAACTACATTTCCTGAATATGAAGAATCAGTCCTAGATATGTCGAAGAGAATTCTTTAATCTTCAAGTTTCCGAACCTTCCTCAACAATAAACTTCTGGGTAGATGCCGCAGCAGTAGGTCAAGCCCAACGCTGCCTAAACGAGGTCTTCAAGTTTTTAGTTACGTGTATGCAGTTTGTACAAATCTTCGCCAAAAACTGAATTTTCTGAATATGAGGAATCAGTCCTAGATCTAGAAGAAAATTCTATGATCTCTGAGTTCCTGAATCGTCCTCAACAATATACTTACTTCTAGATAGCTTCCGCAGTTACATGTATGCAGTCTGTACAAATTTTTTCCATAAACTACATTTTCTGAATATGAGTAATCAGTCCTAGATGTGAGTAGAAGAGATTTCTCTAATCTTCAAGTTTCCTAACCTTCCTTAACGATATACTTCTAGGTAGCTGCCGAAGCAGTAGGTCTGGCCCAACGCTGTCTAGATGAGGCCTCCAAGTACTCAGTTACGTGTATGCAGTTTGTACAAATCTTCGCCATGAACTGAATTTTTCTGAATATGAGGAATCAGTCCCAGATCTAGAAGACATTTCTTCAATCTCTGAGTTCCAGAATCGTCCTCAACAATATACTTTTAAGTAGCTGCCGCAGCAGTAGGTCTGGCCCAACGCTGCCTGGACGAGGCACTTAGTTACGTATATGCAGTTTGTACAAACCTTCGCCATAATAGTATATTATGTATATAACAAGTGTTATAAACGTCCTTCTAGTAACGAGTATTTTGAGCACGAGCGAAGCGAGTGTCTAGAAGAGTTTATAGACGCGTTACATACTATGCTTTTTCTACGAACTCCAAAAATAACATTAACATACCTGCTATTCCTGCTGAGCTACAAAATAATTCGAAAGGAATGGGAATTGAGAACATAATACATGCAACTGCATGCAACCAGCGAGACACGTATAAGTGATATTGTTTGTAGATATGTCCAGTCATGCTTACTTACCTTTTCTTCGCATTTGTGGTCATGCTCAGCGCAGAATAAATTAATTGTTCTCGAAGATGAATGCTTAATTTTTACACTTCTTGGAAGTATGCAAGTACCAGAACATTCTCTTTGATTCCACTTTCGTTTACATATTGCATATATTTTTGATTGAGAATTCTGATACAAACGAATATTGTTTGAAATTTTCATACGAACTTTGAAAATAACAGCTGACAGTTAATACATTTGACAGGCCAGACATGTCTCAAATTACTGAAGCTGTGTTCAATGAACTGTGTTGCCATGGTAATGTGTTTAAGAAATCGTATTGCCATGGTAACGTGTTCAATATTTTGAATTAATCACAGATCGACAATCCGTGATTAATCGATCATTTAGCGTGGTACATATCCGTACGCTAAATGTCATTTTAGTTATGTGAGTAGGAAAACTAAATTTTCTGAATATGAGGAATCAGTTCCAGATCTAGAAGAGAATTCTCTGATATCTGAGTTTCTGAATCGTCTTCAATGAAATACTTCTATGAAGCAGTCGCAGCAGTAGGTTGGCCCAACGCTGCCTGGACGAGGCCTTCAAGTACTTAGTTACGTGAATGCAGTTTGTACAAATCTTCGCCATAAACTGAAATTTCTCATTGAGAGGAAGCAGTCCCAGATCCGGAAATAAGTTCTCTAATCTTTAAGTTCCTAAACCTTCCTCATTGATATACTTCTAGGTAGCTGCCGCAGCAGTAGGTCTGGCCCAACGCTGCCTGGACGAAGCCTCCAAGTACGCTCTGGAGCGGAAAGCCTTCGGAGTGCCGATCGGCCAGCACCAGGCCGTCGCTTTCATGCTGGCCGACATGGCCGTCGGCGTCGAGACGGCGCGACTGGCGTACCTCAAGGCCGCCTGGCAGTACGACCAAGGCACCAGGAACACGCTGGCGGCCTCAATCGCGAAGAGTTACGCGTCCGACGTGGCCAACAAGTGAGAAACGGTTTTTTAATTAGTTGATTAACACCTTTTTATTGAATAATAGCTGCGTTTTATTGGCATTGATAGTGTGACTTTCTCAAAATAATTGCAAAAACGATGTCAGAAAAAAAAATCTCACATCCTGACACTGCACATTTGTCCAGTCCCATTATAAACTTCACTATTGTATTGTTCGAATCTTTAGTCCACTATTGTTAATTGATTTCTTTCCTTCTTGATTGAAAAATCAAATAATTGGTCATGAAGTGACTCTACTTTCAAGTATTGAATAATTAACTTCATAATAAAATGTTGTATAATTTCCACCTCTTGCTGAAGATGATCCTATGTGGGCTCGAAACAGGTGCGATGATCTGATAGAGTAATTTGATCACTATTGATATAATGTAGACGCCTTTGTGTTGTTGATCCCTGGTAACTTAGCACTCAACTTTGAGGTACGATGTACTTTTACCATAGATCACAATAATATATCTAGTGATTCACACGAGACCAACGAGACGAGACTTTCATAAAGTCTCGTCTCGTCTCGCCGATGAAATATAAAGTCTTGTCTCGAGTCTCGTCTCGCAGTCACGAGTCTCTTCATGTCTCGCGTCTCGTACGAGAGTCTCGCAATTTTGCCATGCATAATCTTGTTCCAGTCTAGTACGGATTATTTACCTTTACCTATTTTTTAGGTATAATGTAGAAGTAGGAAAAGAAAATTACAACAAAAATAACATTATTCAATGAAAAGTAAGTACCTAATAGGTACATACATACTTACATCATACATCTAAACGAGAAAAAAAACATAGCATTATATATTCGAAAGTTATAAAAATAAAATTAAAAATAAACAAAACAAAAACTTTGATCCAACATCATTTTACTTATTTGAGATATAGGTATTTAAGATAAAAACCTTCATCAAACAGATTAATCTTGACGATCGCAAATGTTTTTGTTTCTTACCCAGTCGTTATGACATAAAGTTATTCTTTATCTTAGACTATTTAGCACAGAATGACTCATTTATAGATTTTCAGGTAGTCATTCAATTTGCGATCTGTCGTTATTGCAGAATTGCCTTTATATTCCTCCGCCGTAAGAGAGAGAATAGTCTGTTTTCGTTACACGCATTAGAGTCCGACCACGTTAACTTTGGGACAGCAAGTAACGCAACGCATATGCATATTCAATGCATACGCGACCACGTGCTGTCCCAAAGTTATCGTGGTCGGACTCTACGACGTTTTACAACAATCTTGGATTGTGTTTTTTTAAGTATTTATGATTGAAATGTTTTGTCTACCTCTCCTAAATAGTCTGAATTATTTCTAAATATGTTGTATTATGAATGAAATTCTCAAGTCTGCAGTCAGCACGCAGAAATATTTACCTGCGAGACTCTCGCACAAGACACGAGAAATCTTGCACGAGACTCGAGACGAGACCGATAAAAGTCTCGTCTCGTGTTGTCCTCGAAAACGAGTCGAGACCATGCGAGACTCTCGAAAACGAGACTCTCGCGGGCATCACTAAATATATCAATTATGTGATGATGTGATCTTTCGAAACAGATCGAATCATAATAAAATAATTAGCCTGAAGGTTGAAGTATATGTTTCTCAACAGGTGTGCCACCGATGCAGTGCAGATATTTGGCGGTAACGGATACAACAGCGAATATCCGGTTGAAAAGCTGATGAGGGACGCCAAGATTTTCCAAATTTATGAAGGGACATCACAAATTCAGAGGGTTGTCATATCAAGACATATTCTAGAGAGGGCTAAGAGTCTTGTTTGAATATTTGACTGAATTATATCGATTTATGATGCGAACGATTGTTTTCATTCATAAAATAATTTTCTCATGAGCAATCAATGAATTCGGGCTTAGGACGAAATTTCAAACCCAGTGATATTATTGGGATCATCTGATGGGTCTATGCAGAGGCGAATTGTATTTCATTTTTTCGAAGAATAACCTCAACCTAACTTTTTCACTGTCACAAACCGTTTTTTTCCAGAGCTCTGTGGATTTTTGAAATGATTATTGAAATTCACGATATTTCGTTACATAAAAATAATCACCCGTGAACAATCCAATGCAATTTCCGAATTACATATTCACTATCCATCCTCTATTTTTGTAAAACAAGTGCAAGAATATGTCTGTTTATCTTTTTTATCATGAAATAATGTGAATTCAGATATATTATCATGTCATCAGCAGACCGAGAGCACCTGATGAGGTCTGGTGGATCAAATCGGTACTGTCTCACTTCTGCTGACAATTGGGGTCTCTCTTCATCCTTGATCTCTTAGTTATGGAATGTTCAGTGACCATTCATAATAAAAGAAAATCAGATGAGAATGCACAATCCAAATGAGAGTCTCTGATATGAACACAAGAAGGAGCACGCGAAGACCATTCATTTAAGTTGCTCAAAGATGATAATAACACATTTCGATGGTTGTTAAATCTTGAAATTCCAATATCCATCTCATGGAAATACATTCAATGATATATTGAGCATCATGTATATTTGGTGTTAACGCCACTGTTGGGAGTTCCAAATAATGATAATATGTTTGTACTATCTTTCAGTGGAGGGGTAGAGAGAAATTACATTCCATCTCTTATTAAACATATTCGTGTGTCATGTTTTCTGTTCAGCTGTTTAACAACAGTGCGTGAAATGATATGGCCGAGGCACTCTACCAAAATATTCCATATACTGTGTATACTGGGGGTTTGCATATATCTATCCTCCGAGCTGCGCAGAGGTGGCTGGTGTCGGCCAGGGAATGTGAATGTTAGTGTGTTGCGTTCGTTTCAGAGGCCGATTTCCTAGGGCAGGGCCCTTTATATCGGTAGTCTCACTGATTGTACCCAAGGGGTGGGGGGGAATCGATCATGTTCAGGTTCATTCGGGTTCCGATTTCAGAACTGTTCAAAAATCGTTCTCGAACTGCTCAGAACTAGTGCGCAGTCGTTTCGAATCCTAGGACTGCTTCAGACCGGTTCACAAATTATGAAAACCCGAACGCGGCAGAAGAGAATCTCTGAGAACATAACCTCTATTCAGAATTTGCGAAAAAACAATAGTTTGGACTTTGGATCCTGTATCTTTATTCGAATAATATTCTGAAGCTTCAAACTCTCCTTTGAGTCTATTCACAATACCTCTGGCAACGCTCTGTGGAGGAATGGTGAATATATTCCATCATAGCATTCGTAGCTAGATTTTCAATATATTTTGTCCCTTGTACCTACATGAATTTTGACACCCACCTGAAATGTTCAATGAATTGTGTATTTGAATATAATGGCAAAGTCTCCCCAACATAATCCCCCATTTTTCGGTTTATCTAACAAAAGTTCGAGAATGATCAGATTAGGTAAAATATTTTCAGCAACTTCAGCAAGTAACTCCTTCACCACTGCTTCCTGAAGATGAAGATCTACTACTATCAAATAAATGTACCGGGTGACACGTTATAAAGTACCACCCCCTATAACTCTTTTATTTTTGACAGTAGAAAAAAAATAGAAAAACAGCCTTACAGGGGATTTTTTTTCCTCCTCGAATCAACTGATATATTTTTAGTATATCAAAGGATATACAGGGAGCCGGAAAAAGTGCGAAAATTTTAAATGGAACGCCCTATATATTTTCGCCCCATTAGATAGACCTTTTGAAGCGCTTTCCGAAAATACCCCATTCAATACATTTATCTTCAGTATTTCTCATAATATAGACGTTTGAACCTGAAAAAAGTGTTTATCGATTTTCAAATGATTTTTGAGAGTATGGTATGACAGTGAATCTAGGTAATTAATAAATCGTTATGACATTCAATTCTCATTGACAGTAGGTAATCGCTGATACTCAGAATTGTAATATTAATTTAATTTCCGAAAATTAACAAAAACAAACCAACAAATTTATTGATCACAACTAATATTTCCACCCTCGTTCTGAACACATTCTTCGTAGCAAGTCTGTAAATGGTTTATAGCATTTTCTATAAAATGGGCATGTCTTTCATTCAGCATATTCACTTCATGTCAAATGAAATATTTGATATCATCAGCATTGTTCAGATCCCGTTGATAAATTTTATTCTTGATATATCCCCAAAGAAAATTATCCATGGGTGTAAGATCTGGACTGTTTGAAGGCCATGCGATAGTCCCATTCCGACCAATCCACTCTTCATGATTTGTATCTAGAAAATGTTTCACTCGTTGTATAACGTGAGGTGGAGCCCCGTCATGCTGATACACTATTCTTTGATATCGTCTCAAAGGTAAATTTTCCAATATTTCAGTTACTCTGTCTTCCAAAAATTCATAATATGATTGACCAGTCAACGTAGTTTCAAAAAAGAATGGGCCTTATATTTTATGGTCAAGTATTCCACACCAAACATTAACAGTTTGTCGACCTTGCCAACGCACTTCTCTTGCGAAATGTGGATTTTTGGATGCCCAGTATCTGAAATTCTGTCTATTAGGCAGCCCGCTTGTAGAAAAACTTGATTCATCCGTCCATAATATATTGTAATGATATTTCCCTTGGAGGCGCTTTAGAAACATCAGCAGGAAGGCAGGAGTACAACGATCATCCTGTATCACGCATCCCAGATTGCTCTCCAACCTCTCAATGATTCCTATATACACCAACATATTTCCGAACACTCAATATATGCCGCGGTGACAGATAACGTCACAGAAGATTCTGGAATGTTCTAGAAACAATCGATGGAACAATTAGAGAGAGAGGTTTGTTCTAAGAAGCTTCTAGAACAAAAAGAAGGAGACGGAAGATCGTTCGAGAAGGTTCTCGACCAAAGCCTGCCATGCGTTCTTATAATATATAAGACGACCGAACAACTGAGTCAGGCAGTCAAACAGCGAGTGTCAGAGAGACAGTTATATACCGCGTGTTATAAATCGTTTTACATAAATAGTAGTTATAAGTTCGATATAAATTAGTGTTTCTTTAGTTTAAATAAATAAGTTCGAAAATAAATAGTGTCGTGTTCGCTTCTGCACCCGAATAACGTAACAATTGGTGTCAGAAGAGGGATATTCCAGTGTGAAGTGAACAGACCGTTGCAATGAAGAAACTAGACGAGTTGAGAGTGGTGGACTTGAAACGAGAGTTAGAGGAGAGAGATCTCGATACAACAGGGATCAAGGCTACACTTCAGCATCGTCTCAAAGAGTATATGGTGAGCGTAGGTCAAGATCCAGAGACGTTCACCTTCGAGGAACCAGCTTCAGCGGAATCGATGTTGGCTGGGATCTCGGAACAGATAGCAGCTCAGCGACAGGACATAGCAGCTCAGCGACAGGACATAGCGGCTCAGCGACAGGACATTGCGGACCAGATGGTGGCTCAGCAGGAGAAGATTACGGAACAGATCTCGGAACAGATAGCGGCTCAGCGACAGGATATTGCTGACCAGATGGCAACTCAGCGAGAAGAAGTTCTGGCACAAATTACTGCTCAGCAAAATCAAATCGCATCGCAGATCTCAGCTCAACGGCAAGAGGTATTGGATCAGATATCGGCTCAACGGGAAGAGATATCAGATAGAGGTACTAGCTCAGTTTTCTGCTCAGCAAGATCAGATCGCCTCCCAGATATCATCCCAGCGAGAAGAGGTATTAGCTCAGATTTCTGCTCAGCAAGATCAGATAGCCTCTCAGATATCTGCCCAACGAGAAGAAGTATTGACCCAGATATCAACACATCGGGAAGAGGTGCTGACTAAGATTGCTGCTCAGCAAGAACAGATCGCGTCTCAGCAGGATAAGATTATAGCTCAGGTTTCAACCCAATTCACCACTCAGTTAGAAGAAATGGAGAAGAAGCTGCAGCTCGAAATAGAAAGAAGGTCTTTGCTGGAGAAGTCTGGAAATGGTCAACGACTCATGATTGAAACCACAGCAGGGTCAGATGCAGTGACTACGACCAATCGGGTGAAGCCGCCTACATTTGATGGAAAAACATCATGGCCAAACTATCTGAAGCAGTTCGAAGCAGCTTCCAAAGCCAATGGGTGGACATCAAAGGAGAAAGTGGTAGCTCTTACAGTAGCACTACGGGGTGATGCACTGAACATTTTGCAAGCCATTCCGGAGGTAGAAGCCGATAGCTACGATCATCTCGTCAAACGCCTCGAAATGCGATATGGACACGAACATCTTCAGCAAGTGTTTCAATCACAAATGAAGAGCCGTCGACAGAGAGCCAATGAGAGTCTTCAAGAATTCGAAGTGGATGTAGCCCGATTGGTCCACTGTGCCTACCCGTCAGCCCCAGAGTCCCTTATGGAATGTCTAGCTGTTCAAACGTTCGTGGATGGATTGCGGGATATCGAAATGCAGAAAGCAGTTCGCCTGACTCGACCAAAAGACCTCACCAGTGCTCTGGCAGCTGCGCTTGAGATCGAGGCCGCAGCAGAAGCTTCCCGAGGATCAGCGAGAGTCCGAGAAATGAACGACAGCGGAAACATAGCGGAAAATACCAGGCAAGATCCTAATGAAGCCTTGATAAACGCCATCAAGTGCCTCTTAAATGAGAAAAAGAGACCAGTTCAAACGACTGCAGGGAAACTGAAGCGGGCCGATCACAAGAAACCAGCTTCGACCCGTCATTCTCAAGATCCTCTCATTTTTGTGGCATACCTACGGCGTGATAACAGCAGCGTCTACGTAGATGGACAGATCGACGGAAAGAAATGCGCATTGTTGGTGGATACTGGTGCATCAAAGACGATCCTGCGACG